TTTTTTGCATGGCGCCAGAAAATGAAGTTGTTGCATTTTGCCACACTAATTTTTCTTGCTTCAAATAGCCACATATAACGCTTATAATCGGTGGCTAAATGGGACAAGTTACTTGCATGGCGCCACGAGCCGTGATCAAATGAACCGGCCAAAAAAATTTTAAGTCTATACCTCACTTTGTTCAAAAGTTACAGGGTGATGCCTGCTTTTTGAATACACGACTGTATTAGAATTTTATAAAGCTAGAGTGAATTTTTTCGTATGCACAATATTAAAAATCTATTATTAAAAAAATCGTAAAATCATTTCTTCATTCGCATTCATAAGCACAGCTTTTATTTATTTTTCAATTTATTTTCAACTGATAATAATTTCTATATTTTGTTCAAACTATTCTCTCATTTATTCACCCAGTTATTCACTTATATACTTGTAAAAATTTTGCCGTCTGAATTCTTATTCTTTGAAAGAAACTCAACATTGTAGCGGATTTTTTTTCTTTTTTTCTTCTTTTTTTTTTCAAATTTCCTCTAATAAGTAGGTAACGAGTCTCTGTTTCATGGCAACATCTTAGGTAACTTCTACTGGAGATTATTACGTAGTTCATAAACTTCCGTTTTTGCCCCTTCAACGACATCTACGTAAACCGCGCGGAGGCAAAGCATGCAACTTATCGAAATCTTCCGTCTTCTATGGTATCACTCGAAATTGAAGGCAATCTCTTATTCCCTTGAACCTACGGTCAGACCGAATGTCTCAGCAGTCATCAGTGGTCACACCAACACCAAACGCTGTATTATCATTAGTCCAGGCTCCCGGCAAGTCTACCTGGAATTTTGGGTACACAGCGATTTTTTTGGCTTACTTTGTGTTTTTTGGATCGCTGAATCCGAATCTGAAGTTTCCTACCGCATATCTGGTGATAGTCCAGGCAAACAAGGAAAAGAGCCTAAAAAAATCCCAGGTAGCAATGTTTTCATCGATTCGTATGTAATTTTCGACGCTGAATCCGAATTTCAACTTTGCGCCATTAAAGTCGGACCGGAAAGTTGCCAAATTTGGCAAAAATGGCCTAAAATCGGACTTTTTTCCGGATTATGACCTGTAACTTGCCAAAAATTGATCGGACAAGAAAATTAGTTATTTTCAGAAATAAAGCTCGTTAAATTTCCTATAGAAAAACCTAACTCGAGGTACTCAAATCAACAGTATACTGCAAAATAATTTGGAAAGTCTCATCATGCAAATACAGGAGATTCGAAAACGCCTTCAATTGAGGCGTGATATCCCACGCGTTCCGGAGAGTTTAAATAGTTGTATCCCTGCGCCTTAGCAATTCAATGGAAGCTGAATATTGAAGTAACGTCCCCGCTTGGTTTTTCGGTTTTCCTGTGCCGCTACTGCAGTTTCAACCGTTAACGCCATAGTTTAATGACGATGAAGCCAGGGTTGCATTTCGCAAAAGGATAATTTTTGCAGAATAATTAAAAATTAAGAAGCAGGAGTAATTTAACTAAATAAGAAAATGAACTCAAATCAACAATATACTACAAAACAATTTGGAAAGTCTCATCATGTAAGTACAGAAGATTCGAAAACGCCTTCAATTAGGGCGTGATACCTCACGCGTTCCGGAGAGTTCAAATAGTTGTATCCCTGCGCCTTAGGAAGGCGATGGAAGCGATAGATGAGATGAGACTCCCTAGCATTAGGGCGCTAATGGTAGGGTTATATTTCGCGAATGGATGATTTTTGCAGATTAATTAAAAATTAAGAAGCGGGAGTAATGGAACTAAATAGTAAAGAGTACTCAAATCAACAATATAAGCGTAACAATTTGGAAAATGTCGTCATGTAAATACAGAAGATGCGAAAACGCCTACAATTGAAGCGTGATAACCGTGAAAAATATGCAAATGCACATTAATGATATACCAAAATATTCCTTTAAGGGAGGAGAATGAACATGTTTAATTGAAATTTTGATTTATGTGCCACAGAACTCATGCAAAAGCGAAATAAAACCTTGAGAATCAGACGGCAAATTTGATACCACCTGCAATGTCAGCTTTAGGCAACCCGCATGTCAAAGCGGAAGGGTTCAAAGACCCTTAAACCATGGATACATTTATTTTGGAAGCTTAACTACCAGAAAACCAAGAAAAAACATTCAAAAATCCGCCTTTTTTTTTCGTCGCCCACGACCGACCTATAGCATTGACTCGATCCACCGTGCGCCGTCATCAATGCGCATCTCTTCTCTTGCTCTTTTTCCATATTGTGTTGGTTCCGTTTCTCATATTAGTAGTGGTGCTTCGAGAGCTGTGTAATCATCGCAACCGAGATAGGAGAAACGTAATTGGGCCTCGTTTTTCAACTTTTCTTTCGACCCAAGCAAAAACTCATTGGCAGCATAGGGTCGAGCATTGCGATTGCGAGTCCACGTCTCCCGCCATCGCGCCCTCAATTTTGGCGACGCAACACGGACATCCATTAAGCACGAATAGTTGTATCTCTGCGCCGTCATCGACGCGCCTCCCTTCCGTCGCTCTATTTCTATACTGTATTTGCTTCCGTTTTACACATTTGTATTTGGAGTGGTGCTTCAAGGCTACGTGAGCAACACGTCTGAAGATAGGAAAGAAGTAATCCGGCCCCAATTTTTAACTCTTCGCCCGAATCTCACTAGCAGCATAGAGCAGAGCATTGCGAGATCATGCCTCGCGACTCACGGCATCGCGCCTTAAATTTTGCATATCGACGGTGTAAGTCGGCAAACACATACGTCGGTTTGCGACGTTGCAGACTTCCTGGCATACTTCAATTTTTAAACGGAAAACTACTCAACGGCAATTCTTTAAAGGTGACGTGATTTTTCTTCTCTGTGCGAAGAAAATTCTGCATAAACTTCAAGGAACTATTTCAATTTGTTCTCCTTTGAAAAAATCATATAGAGGCGGAGATTTCAAACACCGCAACCGCAAACGAGATATGTGATTGCGGACTTACGCCGTCGATATGCATTATGCACATCCATCCATTACTAATAGTTTTATCCCGTTTAGATGCCTCTTCTTTTTGCGATTTGAGATAAGTTTTAGTTAAGTTTGCTCAAAGTATGGTATGATGTGTCGATATCAATGGTGATTTTGAGAAGGGGAGAAAAACGTTCAAAAGGTCTGTCAAAGGCTCTGATGAAGGGCTTACGTCTAAAAACTGACCCGACTCTTATCTCTTCTTGGGGAGTCACATATGGCGGATGAGAAAGGAAGGGGAGATAAAGCGCTAGTGGGTCATTCCATTGTAACGGGTGTGACACCAATTTAACTTTAAACAAGAATTTGAATTCTTTTTTGGGGTTTAATTAAAAAATTATATGCAGTAGCAGAAAGAACTTTTTTTATTGATCATTTCAGTTTATCAGAAATTGTTTTTACTTTGTTCCATTCCTCAGAAAAAATTAAAAGGCATGCGTAACGGGTGTGACCGATTTTGGAAGTGAGTTTTTCCTCAGTGAGTGTAAAGTGGAAACTCAGCGAATTTTATGAATGTAAAAATCTGATTAAATTATATGATGAAGCCAAGGGTTTTTGCTTCAACTGCCGATGATCCGTTTTCGATTATCTGTTTTTCTTTTCCCGAAAAATGGGAAAGTTTGCGTAACGGGTGTGACGTAACGGGTGTGACAGATTGTCTCTCTGAGGCCCATCATTTCTGAGAGAGTTTAAAAGTTCAAAAACTTACTTTTAGTCTCATCCTCTTATTGTAGGCAATCCTAAGCAGTAACTCAATCAACAGTTTGACGTATTTTAATGTAGAACATGCCAAAACTACATTTTTCTACAAGGTGGCCCAGACCTACCGTTTGCATCACGGGTGTGACGTAACGGGTGTGACAAATTGTCTCTCTGAGGTCTATCATTTCTGAGAGAGTTTAAAAGTTAAAAAACTTACTTTTCTTCTCATACTCTTATTGTAGGCAATCCTAAGCAGTAAATCAATCAGCAATATGACGCATTTTAATGTAGAATATGCCAAAACTACATTTTTCTACAGGGTGGCCCAGACCTACCGTCCCAGGGCTTTTCTTCGGGTAACCCAGGATTCGCCTTTCGTCCCCGCGGTCCTGGACCTCGCATGGCTCAAATTAACCAAATAAAAAACCCTGGCACGGTATGTCTGGGCCTATAATAAAGTGAAAATATTTCAATCAAATCGGAGAGAGTTCAACGAGTTCTATTTGAAGTCCTTTTGAGATAAGGTGTATTCACTTTAAATACTGAAATATGGCAAAAAAGTTGGCTGTCTCTCTCATTAGATGTATACATAACCTCTAATTATGCATATGAGTGTATTTTTTGTGATAACCATAGAGAAAATGGTGAGAAGTGAGGCAACATCTGCATAATAGAAGCCTCTTCTCATTGATCACACCCGTAACGTGTCACACCCGTTACGCATTTTTGCCCATCAATTGTTGAAATAAAAATTTGGAAAAAATATTCCAAAGCTGTACTTGACTTGAAGACGTACGGAAAAAATTGGCATCTCAAAATGACATGAATTAAAATAGTTACATTAAAAAACCCATGTTTTGCGTAACGGGTGTGACAGTCGGTACACTAAGTTTTAAAAGTTACATATAGTATACAGTAATTACTTTTAAAAATTGAAACTTTGCAGAAGCACATTGAATCAGTTTCTTGACAACTGCAAGCATAACCTGAAACTTGGTTTTGGCGATAACACCAGAAAACATTGCTACCAAACTGTCACTCTTTTTACAGTAGGATGAAGTTAAGCAACGGGGTTACAAAACACGTGAAAATTGCGAGAAAAAAAACAAAACGGAGGTAAACCATGATTTTTTGAAAAAAAAAACGGCGGCTCATAAAAACAATAATATGTTTCGTGAAGCTTCGGGCAAAAATTATTTTCTAATCTCTTTTGAAAATGTGACACGTTGGGATTATGGGATGGTAAAGAATCCAGATTTCTCATTTCAATAAATAATGTGCATGTATTTGAATTAACATACATACAAAATTTTAGAAGTATGAAAAAAGATTGAGATGAAGTACTTAAAACAATCAACCATATGTAAATATAAATAACAAAAACTATCAATGAATATTCTTTCTATATTTTGATTCTTATAATAATACTATTGCAGTGAGTTAACAGTTGGGTGGTAGCATTTCAAAAGTCCCTGCATCTGAGATGTGAAGAGTTCACAGGAACCTATGCCAATTTTGATTTTGAGAGAAATTTACCACCAGAACAGTAAGGAAAATGAGAATGATAGCTGATCTTAGATCAGACGTTTGTAAAAATGTATGCAGGTTTTTTGGAAAAAGTCAGGATTTAGGGGTATCTCTCAGACAGACATTCTAGGTTTAAATAAGAGATTCGATCAGAAGCAGATTGTTGCCAAATAATAAGTGGTTAGGTATCCAGTTTCGTTTGAAATTAGATTTGTGCAAAAATAGGGTAACTTCTTAGGGAAAGTATGAGCATCTTTGAATTCAATAGGCTCTGCTGTCTTAGACTTCCACAACCTAAAGATGGCAAATGCTGCAGACAAGTAGCTTGCGAGTAATAAGTAACTGCAGTCGGAACTTTTACAAATTGTCTCTTTAATGGTCATTCGCATCTTTGAGTTACATCATTTCTCAAAGAACATCGTCAAGCGAAGTAATTTATCTTGATAACCATTTTTTAATTTCCTTCCCTTTTTCCTTTTTTTTCCTCTTGTAAATAAGTAGGTGCTCCCTCTTAAAAAAGACTTCAAAGGAAGTTTAGCGATCTCACTCCTATTTCTTTCAGCATGTTATTACGAGTTTCACGTCCCTAAGTCTCCAAGAAAAATGTGGCGGAGTGAGATGTTCATATTTTCCCTATGAGTGTGTTCCACATGAAACGGAAAGATACCATGGGTTGCAGTTCGAGTACGAGGTGAAATGGTCTGGTTGCATTTAGGAACTTATCTTTTAAAAAGAGATCCATATAAAATCCGATATTTTATTTAGGTACTAAGGAGGAATATTCCACCCTAATTTAAGTTAGTTACATACTTTTAAAAATCTGCATGTAGCCTAAAGGCTTATCAAGACATGGTCGACATTGATTAATCAATTTTCTTTTCCATCATCATGTGATTTTTTGAAAGTTTGAATGTTCACTTTTTCAAAAGTAGATACTAATTTCAACCAGAAAGGCGTAATTATTAGCCTTAAAACCTCACTATTGCGATAAATGTTTATCTCCTCTGGGCTTTAGTTGACCATGATCTTGACTTTTTCCAAAACCTTTTCAGCAGGAAAAACTTAATACTTCAAATCAACAAATGTGAAACATCCAATAAAAGAAGAAAAAATATTGTAAAATCAATAAATTAAAAGAGGAAAATCTCTAAAAAATAGAAAAAAACAAATACATTAAAAAATAATACCTAGTAAATGATAAGAGAAGAAATTAAAAATATTTATTCTAACTAGATAGGAATTTACACAAACAACAAATAAAATCTAAATGATAGTTACCTTTAATAATTTCTATATTTATGTCTTTTCTCTTCATTTTTTTCTTTTTTTGGGGGATTTTTTGTTTTTATTTTTTATTTTTACAAAATACTCTAAAGACAATGTACAAATTTAATAACATATGATTGCACTTTTTCAATTCCGCCTCTCTTATCCGCCTTTTCTACTCTTTCCTCTCTTTGTTGTGGCAGTGCAAAGAAAGAAAAAGAAATCAGAAATTTGCAGCATGCATTGTAAGTGATTTAGAACACGATTTCCTTTTAAAATAAAAGTACCTCTAAACTTTAAGTCTTCAATTTAAAGGCATTATGAATGGTTTTATGACATTTGATCTTATACTGAAACACGATAGATTTTGTTTCCATTCGGCCAAGTAAACAGAAATTTCAGATTATTTTACTTGGAAATTTGTTTTTTCTGTTTTTTGCCTACATTTTCTGCATAAAATTTGGAGAGGTGGTTAATATCACCCATGGTAAGGTGGATTTACTTTAATGAGAACTTCAGAAAAGTTAAAAAAAATTGAGAGAACTAAACAAAATAATAACACTCAAAGGAAAAAAAAGAGAAAAAAAAGAATAATAAAATGAAAGAAATAGGATAACAGGGTATAGATCACAGAGAATGTTAAAATGATAGACTCACTGGTACTAGCAGTTCTTGATACCTAATATTTAAGGGTCGAAATTACTTAAGTAAAAGGCTAAAAATGAATCTACAAATAACTGGAGTATACAAATTATAGATATGAAAAAGGTTTTTACATATTTATGTACAAATGACAGGCCCTACAAATTTACACTCTGAATATACCATCACGATAAAAATTATCTATAAGTTAATTCACTAGAACAGTACAGGGATGAATAAAAAATATACTAGGCTTCAATCACGGAGTGATAATTAAAAAGATTAGGATCAGCGGAATAACACTTCACAAGACATTTCATAAGATAGTGAAAATGAAACAATAAATACATTAACATGAGTATACATGCGTTTTATAGACAAGAGTCTTCAAAATTTTAAAACCACCGCAAAGCCGAGCAGTTTTACAATTTTAAGCTTAGATTATGTTTGGCAATCTTTTGGTATGAAAATCATAACTAATTTATGTACAATTTGGCATAAACTTAGAATCCTAGAACTAAAACGTATTCGGCTCACCGAGATAAATTCATAAGTTTGATCAAGATTCAGCAATTACCTAACAAAGGAAAGAAAAAATTGATAAATGCATCTATGTTTTGTATAGGTACATAACATTTACATACGTCACATCCTTGAACCACTGGATACACTTCGAAATTTTTGTTTATTTTACTGTACATACTTACAGAATATAGACATTCTTATTATTTGAAATTACAAAATTTAAAGCTACCTAAATGTATACCTCACCAATTTTAATAGACATAAAGAGAAACCCTTCAGCATGCCACATGTTACGGTGAGCTGCAGCTTTCTAAAGCCTTAGGTCATAGGCAATTGAATTTCTAGCATTCACCCTAAAAGATACTTCAAGACCTTCCAGGCTCTGCCAGTCTTGTTCACATTGATGCGTTATGAAAATCTACTCAATGCTTGAAGAGGCCATCAGACTTCACAAAGAATAGTAGACATACCGAAGTATTTTACTCAGTATTGTATGTGCTTACTTATTGACAAAACTTATTTTGTTCTTGCATATTTCTGGGAAACGGGTTCAACACTTCCAATAAAAAAAAATTTAAACTTTAGGTAAATTGAGAGGCTAAGCCTTAACTTCAGGAATGCAGGCTGGTATCCATCATTTAAACCTAATTATTCATAAGTTTCAGGACTGAAATGTTTACTTCTTGGACTGAGCATTATGTAAGTATTCATTTTTTTTTATGAAACAGCAAAACTTCAAGCAAGGTATGACGATGATATGTAGGTACTTTGCTGTCATCCCCCTGAAGATGAAATGATAGTGCCTACCTACTAGGTATGGACTAAAATCTTCAAAAACAAAAGAAATACAGCAAGATAGAAACATTATAAAGCATTGTAAACATTAAAATTGGTGAGTGAATACTCATGGTTCAGATTTTCTTTTCAGCTAGAGGGGGCTCTGTAGAATATCAGAGCTTAATAATCCATCCTATAACTTTTGACTTTCTAAATTAGGACCAGCAAAATAAGACTGTACAAATGCTTGGCACTACTATAGAGATCTCTCCTTTGATTGTGTACCGTCTCCTTCACAAAATAACTCCTCACGTCGAAATTAAGAATGATATGCATTATAAGTTTTGATTTTATACACTAACTTACTGATAAAAAATTATACAAGACAAATCATTTGACAGACCAAACAAAACAAACATAAGAGCATTATAATGTCTCTGGAAGGAATCTTTTTTTTCTTTTTCTTTTCAAATTGGCTGTCCAACAGTCTGAGAGCAAAATGACATTCTAAGAAAAATCTACCATCAAAGGAGACACGAATGTTACCTAAACATAAATTTAAAGGTAGTGCCTAACTTTGTGTTTTGATTGTAAATCAAAACGTGAGATCAAAAGAAGTGCAAGAACACACCTCTAAGTGCTTTCAAAACTTCGTCACTATCATTAAATCAGACTGACTCTTCTTTTAGATAGATGTCTTCATGACACCTCATAGTGAGCAGAAAGTTTTTCATGGTGCACTTTAACCATTCCTCCTTAAAGGAGGCACAGGATTTGATCTGGATGGCTGGCTCCTCTTAAATAAAATATCACATAAAAACCAAGAGACCAACAAGGTATCTCAAAATGCAGCGATAATGAAGGAACTGAATGATAGTCCTTGGTCATGGTTATAGTCATAAAGTTTCTTGAACAGAAAAGAAACAATACATAAAGGGATAGAAATGATGAGCAAAAGACAAATATAGAGCATACATTATTTTTTCATGAATCATATGCGGGACTCGGTTTAAAATTTCCACAGTCTCCCCACTATATACCCTCTATCGTTATTTCTCATGGGTACATTTTTCTATTTTACCTCAAAAGCATTCCATATGAGACCTCACAATGAAAGTTGAATCTTCGTCTGAAGGAAATTAAACAAAGCATTTTAGCCGAATGATAGCAAACCCGTTTAAGTAATAAGTAACACCTAAGCAGTCTTTTGAAGAGAATCGTGCGAGAGAAACTGACATTATGCCAGCTAAACGATTGAACTGTTGATTTCAAAAGCAATCGAATATACTTGAACAGTCTAATTTGATTTAAATTTATGCAACTTTTTCTTCTTGTAAGAAAGCAAGTAGGATTGTAACATGCGCTTAAAGAAGAGAATCATGGACTGCAATTTTGCTACTACTGAGTAATTCGGGAGGTTTACTCATGCAATCTCTCCAAAAATGAATTCGTTGCTCTTGAAATCATCAATTCAACTTCTCACATAAATTAATCTAATTAAAATTCACTACCATTATAGTTGTCATCTTCTCTTTTAATCACAACCTCTTTATTTGATTCTTTGGTACATTCTGTTTCGCTTTTTAAGTTGTTGGTCTCGGACAGCAAATCACTTGGACTCGGGCTTTTGTCGTCCTCCGGGTCTTGATTTGAGGCTTCCTCTTCGTCAGCTGTTTCCTGCGGTTCGACACCATCCTCCTCTTTAACAGGAGTTGGCTCTACTCGGACAGTTTCGCTATCCCGATGCTCGTTGTAGTCTGTCTGCATCACACAGACCCCATTTATAATTACCTCCGACTCTTCTTGCCAATCGGGGTTTACCCATTGTGGTGCGACCGGCTTCCTCCGAGAAGAACTTCGTGCTTCTGGCAGTCGGTCCTGTGGTAATTCAGCTTCCGATTCTGCATCACTATGCTCGGAATAGCGACTTTCCTCATCGTCTGAGCGGTCATGATCGTGTTCGTGTTTGATACTTAAATCTAACCCAGAGACTTGCTCATTTAGGGGTAACATGGATCGCTGCATCAAAGCAGCCAGCTCAGGATTTGGTGGGAAATAGTGCGTTGGAAATGGGATAGGTATATTTGATAGACCTAGGCGCTGACTTAACAGTATCCTAAACTGTACAGGGTCAAACCCGCTGCTACTGCCTGTTTGATTTTCTCGATTTTGATTCAGCTCTGACTGTGGTGACTGTTGTTTCAGTCGCATACGATGGTTGTGGAACCAATTGGATATAGTTCTAGAGGTTAATTGTAATTCACTGGCTAAGAATTCTATTGTAGATAAACTTGGGTATGGATCTAGGGTGTAGGCAAGTTTGAGGGCTTCCTTCTGTTCTTCTGAGAAGAGGACACGCTGCTTCTTAGCTGATGGAGGACTACAAGCACCACTATGGTAAAACTCAGATGTGTCATTGGACGATGTATCTGAGCTATTGTCTTGGTGACCACCAAGGCTGCGTCTCCGTTTATTCAATTCTCGACGCTCAGTCTTAATGGCCTGCAAACGGTCAATATTGTGAGCATCTGCTAACCACAGCTGCATGCGGATGAATGGTTCACGACCCTTAATACTCAGCATGTGCCAAGGTTTCGGTTTTGATAACAGCTCACTTACAGATCCTTGAGAAAGACCCAAAACTGCCTCTCCAAATATCTGGAAAAATTATCAATATAAATTAGAGACATTTTCTTGACAATCATCATGAAGAAAATAAGATTTGGTGAAGATACCTAATTTGTTTCTAGTCAGTTGAGTCGGCCACAAATGCTGCCTTGGGCATACGCATAGTTGGCGCACCTACGTTGTTTGTTACTATAATTATGTTGTGAAGAAATTAATGGGACGTATCTTTAGTTTTACATTCAATCAAAAAGTTGATATAAACAAGTGTAATACAAGGCACAACATTGAGAAAAACTTGGAAATGTTTATGAGCCGCATTACAAGGAAGATGGTCATTCTTTTCTCAGCGATTCCCTGGTAAAAATTGGCGATAGGAGCTACGTTTCAAAATACCATAGGAGTTCTTGTAGCCGACTGAAGAAGGCTATAGAAAATTATATAGCTGCTGTAGAAAGTGGAAAAAATCATACGGCCGGACTACAGGAAGCGATAAAAAATTAAACAGCCGGGCTATAGTTCCTGTCGCCGGGCTTTACACTTTCAGGCTGTTGCTTTTTCGCCATCGGCTATAAAAGGCTATAAGAAATTGTGTAGAAATTCGTGTGCTTCGTAAATCCGCAAGTTTGTTGGATCACCATAATATTTACAAAACGCACTTTATATTTTCCTTTACTACATATTTGTTTTCATCAATTAAAATGAGAATATTCCATACGGAGTGTGCAAACATTTCAAAGTCATGAGTTGAACAACGGTGACTCCACGAGATTAAATATTAGAGCCTATCACAAAGCAGAGCGGCGGCGCACTGGCGCCTACAAACCTAACAGGGATACTTCACGCACTGCGCAATGCGTGAAGTATCCCTGTTGGGTTTGTAGGCGCCAATGCGCGTTTCGCGCTGGCTGCCCGCCCGCCGCGCTGAGCCGCAGCGTACCACGGCGCTTGAAGCAACTATTTCACCCCAGAGGTATTGCACAGCATCGTACGGAATTGAAGGCGCTCCAACATATTAGGAATGGCAGGCATCCTCCAAAAGTACGGATCTTTCCTCGCAAAATAAATCAAGATACTACGGCCCAAAAAGAGAGCGGTAGTCCAAAAACTCACTAAGTCCTAGCATTCGTAATTAGTAACGGATAGCATACACTTTATCATCAGGCTGTTGCTTAATCGCCAGCGGCTATAAAAGGCGATAAGAAATTGTGTTGCCGGCTATAGAAGATATTGGAAATCTTACAGTCGGTTGTAGGTCTATGGTATTTTGGAACACAGATTCTACTGCCAATTTTTACCAGGGTTGCTTCCTGTGAAGTCGATTAAATGGAATCTTTTGTTTTTAAAAAGTCTTACGTGCTGAGGGCTTATGTCTACCTACTAAAAAAGAGTAAAAAAAAATTCTGAGTTTACTTGAGCCCTTATGAAAATATTTTCAATAAAAACTGGAGATGACATCATAATCATTATGGAGATTTCTTGGTCCATTGGAGGGTCTGAATTTCGATAAAGTCTTATATATGTAAAATCCAGCGTTGGCTCACAGAGGAACTGCTTTAAGTTGGAACAGAAGAATTGATGAAAGCTGGTTGTTCCGTAGGTCATAAAAAATGTATTGTTCAGCTAATTTTCCTGTTTCTCCTCCCTATTGTCATAATACCTTTATGATTTGCTCAGAGAGAATATTACCTTTTGGCCAATGTTGTTTGCCAGAAGTGCTTCCTTGATCTTAGTTGTGATAGTTTGTGTATCAAGGTCCTGTGTAAGGGCAGCCATTTCATATACTGATGGGGTGACATGTTGGCTAAGATTTCGTAGTGCTGAGTTCATGTGCTGCTGCTGAAGTGCATTGCATTGCTGCTGAATGGCTGAGTGGCACTTTTTGATCTGCTCTTGTTGTGCATGCGATGAATAGAGTGGAGGTGGAAGGGCAGACAGAGGTGTTGGCACAGATGTACGCAAATCACGCAGATCTGGGACAAAATGGTGAGGGGTGAGACGGTCCCGATCTGGGCGATGATCAGAGGGTAGTTCCCGTTCTATCTTGTGCTGCTCAGAAACAACTAATGCTTGTGAAGTTGGAATCTTTGCACAATTAGTTGGAGGAAGAGGTTTTCCGATAGCTTGCCCCATTGCTGGAAACAATAAAAATGTAAATTAATACCTTGTGGAATAGAAGAGGAGTTGAAAATGGGATAAAATCCGTTTAACTGCAACGTAGTTCAAACAGAACTAATTTTTGTCATAGTGCATGTAAATGTTTGAACCGGTCCCAGTTTTAATCTAAGTTGTGAAATTGATAAAGTTTATATTTTTAATCAAAGAACAGTCTGAAGTATGAATATCTGTACCTAATTGCAGCGCGAAAAGTATCAAAGGTAAGTAATTGAAAATGTTGAAGCAGTTGTTGATTGTGTGATGTGAGATGTAATAATTTTTAAAAAGATTCAATAAACGATAATGGATGCTTAGTTGATGAATTTACTGATTATTCGGCTCATTTCGTCATTGTTTGACAGTGCCAGTTATTAAAGATGACAGAAAAGTCGTTGATTGCCTCGCAGCAGGCACATAGAGAGCTACTGGACTCAGAAGTTGTCCATCTGATGGTGTGTTTCCACATAATAAACAGTAAAAAACGTCTCTTAATACTCGCGCTGTAATGTTGATCCTCACTGAAGCTTCTTTTCAATGAGGCAAAATTGAATCCTACGGCTTTTACTCAGTTAGTAATTGCAAATGAACTCGATTTATCTTTATCTAATTGTATGTTAATATCCTCGTGTTGTTGATAAAAATAATACAATATTTTTCGATCAAAGAGCATGCTAAAGATTGAGAGTAAAATACTTACGAGTTGCTCCACCATATCCACCAGTGCGCATTAGCTTCTCAGGGGCAATTTTATACTGTGATGCTACTAATTTATGTACTGCATTTTCATCCTCTAGGAACATTTTCATTCTAATGAATGGCTCTCGCCCTTTTTGCGTCAACATGTGCCATGGCTTTGGTCTTGCTAGAAGATCACTGACACTGCCTTGTGACAAGCCAAGAACTGATTCGCCGAAAAGTCTTTGTGAGATCGAGAACTGACTAAGTTGTTCTTTAACCTGAAAATTAATATGTCTTCTGTTATACACTTTCATGTTTAAAAAAAATGAAAATAATATGAATTTAAGAATTACATTCCTATGAGAGTTTTAAAATTGTTCAGCTAAATATGCTGAAACAAGTAAAAAAATAACACATGCAGTCATTTAGGAAGTTTGACATTTTGCTCACAATGTATTTCTCTTTGAAATTCGATTCAACAATTTTTAGAGATTATTCAAGGTTGTGGGAATCAGTTCACATTCTATTTTGAGAAATAATTGACTTGTTTGCGTTGATAAAAATTAAATGGACGGCATAATACTAACTCCAAGTTCCAAATCACTTAATTTTCCAAGTTTACCTTCAATGAAGAATAAATGATTCAAATAGACAGTTGTGATCGAAAATTAAGTTATGTGGTACACTATATTTACTAATAATCTTAGGCATTACTAAAGGAGAATATACTACGGTTGGCCTTCTTTTGCTTTTTCCGTAAAACTTATGGCTCAATTATTAGTACATATAGAAAACCCTGGTAAAAATTGGCGATAAGAGCTGCGTTTCAAAATACCATAGGAATTCTTATAGCCGGCTAAAGAAGGCTACAGAAAATCATATAGCTGGTTGTAGAATGCGGAGAAAATCATACGGCCGGGCTGTCCGAAGCGATAAAAAATTATGCAACCGGGCTATAGTTCCTATCGCCAGGATTTACATTTTATCGCCTGGCTGTTGCTTTTTCGCCATCGATTATAAAAGGCTATAAGAAATTGTGTAGAAATTCGTGTGCTTTGAAAATCATTAAGTTTGATACCGAACCACCTTAATATTTACAGAACACACATTATATTTTCTTTTAATAGATATTTTTTTTCATCAATTAAAATGAGAATAATCCATACAGGATGTGCATTGTGCAAACATTTCAAAATCATGAGTTGAATAACGCTGACTCTACGAGATTAAATATTAGAGCCTAACACAAAGCGGAGCGGCGACTCGCTGGCGCCTACAAACCTAACAGGGATACTTCACGCATTGCGCAACGCGTGAAGTGTCCCTGTCAGGTTTGTAGGCGTCAATGCGCGTTTCGCGCTGGCCGGCCGTCCGCTGCGCTGCGCCGCAGTGTGCCACGGCGCTTGAAGCAACTATTTCACACCAGAGGTATTGCACAGTATCATACGAAACTGAAGGCGCTGTAATATATTAGGAATGGCAGGCATCCATCAAAAGTACGGAGCTTTCCTCGCAAAATAAATCAAGATACTACGGCACAAAAAGAGAGCAGTAGTCCAAAAAGTCCTAGAATCTGTAATTAGTAACGTTTAACATACATTTCATCGCCTGGCTGTTGCTCAATCGCCATCGGCTGTAAACGACTGTAAGAAATTGTGTAGCCGGCTATAAAAGCTATTGGAAATCTTACAGCCGGCCGTAGGTCTAGGGTAATTTGGAACACAGATTCTTCTGCCAATTTTTACCAGGGAACTTTTGAAACATCTTTAAGTCTGTTAATTTTAAAAAAATAGTACTTACCTTCCGAACAATGTCTTCTGTGTTTAGATTGTTGAACTGGTCAAACTGTTGCTGCGTTATGGGTGGGAGAACAGCCTTCAAAGGACGCTGAGCAGGAGAATGATGATGAGGTGTGGGTGGTTGAGAAATGAGGGCGTTGGTGATGGATGCCATACGTTGAAGTGGACTTACTGCCGCACCAGGCGAAAAGTCTTCTGGAGGGAGAATTGAATTGCCCAAAGGTGAACTTGTTGAGCTCCCTGCAGGTGTGTGACTCCGGGTTACTAAAATTGAATTTTTAAGGCCACTGATTAGTTAGTGTAACGAGGAGAACACATTTGATGAAACAACGTAAAATTTCGATACGAAATTAGAAATTGATTTAAATAGACGTAGCATTTCTTTTTACTAGCCATCTGAACCGAAAAATTGGGAGGGTGCCATTTTCAATTGATTTGAACAGACGTAGTACTTACCTATTCATCTAGGGAGTAAAATATTTCTTTGTGGCAAATGGTACTTGATTGAATAATGGATTTCTATACAAATGCATTTAATTTTATCCCAAGTAACAGAGGTTGCAACAACTTGCAACGAAATCGTTTGATTCTTGCAACTGATAGATTAATGTGCAGATTGCCTACTCTCTCCCCCGAAGGAGCTACCATCGTTGGAACTAGTTGCAAATAAGTTGAAACCTGTTTCAACTTCAAAGTATTGCTGGTTGCCTATCTTTAGATTTTAAACAACTTCGGTTCAGCAATTTTGCAATCTCAGCAGGTTGCAACTTTGTCTTCCGATCAGATCGCCGAAAATCGGCACTTATCGACCAAAAGTTGACCTAAAGTTGAAATTTTGTTGCAACTAATAACGACATTGTTTCAACTTGTTGAAACTTTTACATTGAAAAATGCTACTTGGGATGACTAAAAAAAGGGATAAAAAAAAGACAGTCTCGATGAATCAGTTATTCAGGACTTTTAATGCTTTTTGATTAGTATTAAAGGTTCATTCTGGGGCATTTGAATTTGGCTGCTTTTTCAAAGAAATTGGAGTCTTACCGGGTTCAGGCTTGGGGTGAACCAATGAGAAAGCACTCCCAGCATGCTTCAACGCCTCTGCAACTGATTCTGGCATTCCAGGTGGAGCATTCGGCATCATTTGCTCCTTCTTATCCTCGATATCACCATTGAGTAACCGCTGTTTCTCGCTATCCAACGAGGACTGTTTGCGTTCCATCTTTGGTAAGGATAAGTCCTGAACAAAACCGTTGGGATTACTTTGATTCAGGACCACGGCTGCTTGTTGCTGCATGGCGATGAGGTTCGATAGGTTCGGTGGGGGGACAGAAGGCACTTGTCCCGCATTCAGTTTTGACAATTCTCTGTGATATGCTTCCATTGCTAGACGAATATCGTCCGGATTCGTTGCACCGCCGAAGAAAGGAGGGAACAAGATTCTGCGACAAAGGAAAGAGCAAAAAACATTGATTTACACGGAAAAAAATAAATTGCTGATTCAACAATTCAATTGCTAAGAACAGTGAGTGCAATGGTTCAATGTAAATTTTACAACAGAAAAATGCTACTTCAACCACCCCCGTGGTTAAATTAGTTTACAATGTGGTTAAAGTAGCATTTTTTGTTGTAAAATCTGCGTTGAAGCATCGCACTCACTGTTTTTAGCAATTGAATTGTTGAATCAGCAATATTTTTTTCCGTGTACTTCTTGCATTAAAGAGATACTTGCTTTATCTTAATGACCATCAGTGTTCAGGCGAAGCTCATTTTTTTACTCTCGACATCTACTCATGAGTGAAAATGCTAAGGTAGGAATGAGGTTCAAACCTTCTCTACTACTATTGCAACAATAACAATGAGCAAAATATTAGCTAAATGCGAAAAAGGTTTCGCACTGCATGTGACAGGTCACTCTGATAAAAGCTTTGCAAATTGAAGTTAATTTCATGCATATCCTTGGAACATAAAAGGAGGTTCGCTAGATGTGCAAAAATCATTCTTAATTGAAGTAGGTATAGAAAGGTAAAATTTTTGTCAGACATATTTTGCTAAAAGACAGGCAGTTTCACTCAGAATGTAAACTAATTTATTGTTAATGTTGCAGCTATCGTCTACTTTTACTGAATTTTTTGTGATGACTACATAATAAGCCAAAAAAAAGACGTTTTTACCAAAATTCCGTTTTTTATGTTTGGTTAAAATGTGTGTGTCAGGTAAAGAGCGTTTGAGGCTTTGTATTTGCAAGAAATTTTAACTTGATCTGATGCCACCACAACTTTATTCGGTTTAAAAAATTTGTCGAATAAGGATAGTTCAGCAAAAACTGTTTCTTCTCTTTTGCAGAATAGCAGTCTGCAAGCTCACCAAAAATTTCAAAGGAGCCATTATTTACTAGGTATCCAATTTGCTCAGATAGATCCGTGCAGTTCAGGTGTTTTTCTTTTACTTTTGCGAATGGCATTCTGACAGATCTGAACTTACCCTGGAAAAGGTTGATCTCCTCTCATATTCTCATCCAGACGCCTTCCCATGAGTTTAGTGAGTTCTTCTTGATAAATCCTAACCACCTGTTCTTGAGAAATGTCATCATTCTCATACTTCTTCATTCGTCTTCCTTGAGGAGATGGGCACTGAAAAAAGGGAAATTTCAACTGAAAAACGACTATTGAATACCTATTTTATCAATACATTTTCCTGAATATAATCATTTTTAAGACAAAGGTGAAGAAATATTACTTTTTTTTCAATGATTTTTTTGAATGTTTTTAATTTTAACGATTGCCAAAGTGCAAAACTAGGTACCTCCAAAAAGGTATTTCAAAATGTCCGCCCCTACTTCATGTTTTCGACGTGAAACAAGGTAACTTTAAGATTTGAAAATACAGAATATTCCGCTGACAGAAAAAAAGCAAGGAAGTTTTAACGGAATTACGATGACTGGTTTTCAGATGAAAAAATACAGTATCGCAGGACGTCTAGAACGTTGCAAACTGAGATACTTGCTTCCGCCCAATGGCCATCGATTAGTAAATTTTTCTTTTCTTTTTTAATATCTCCTTTTTCTATCCGAAATCTTCATGACCATTACGCATATTATTCAGGACTTAGTTTTCTTGAGAGTTTTGATTGATGAAATATTTCTTTTAGATTGACTCAGTAGATTAGGTACGTAAGTGTTCCTCATTCCCTGATCCACTCAGAGAAAATAGAGGTAAAAGTTAGAGAAGAAATACATGTAGAATAGGTTAGGAGGTGCAATGAAAATTCCTCATTCCCTGATCCACTCAGAGAAAATAGAGGTGAAATTTAGAGAGGAAATACATCTAGAATAGGTTGAGAGGTGCCATGAAAATTGCAACTCTTCACTCCATAGGACCGAAAAATAAAATAAAAAACTTACCTGTCCATGGCTAGGTGATCTGCTGTCATCGCTATGACGGCTATCCTGATCTGCGGCCATCCCTAGTCCTGGCTTCATCATTTGACTTGCTTCGTTCAGGATATGTGCTATTCTTTCCTCGGTCATATCCGCTTCGCCTCGTCCAAATACACCCGTAATACCACCATCTTTACCTGCAATTTTATAAGATTTTAATTCTTTTCTCCTTGTTTTTCCTCCCCCATCGTAGCCTACGAAAGAATAGTGTGAAAAGTTACTCACGCTGCTCTGGTGCCATATCAAAGGCTCATAAATGAAAATGCTCAGTCAAAAATCTTTTCAAGTGAGGCAGAAAAACCTATCTAAAAGGTTTCATGATGGAACAGGGTCTTACGATCAACTGAATTCCGGTGATCAGGTGGCTCCAGACCTAACAGAAACCATGTAACGACCAAGACACAGCCAAATTTTCCCCATTTAAAATATTTAAATTTGAGACATATTATTAATATTTTTCCTCGAGTTGTACAATATATGGTGCCTAAGCTGATGCGAGATATTTCTGACTCGTTTTTAAAATTTAAAAGCCTTCAGCGGTGATTCCGTTAGGATTTTCAGTAGAAATCTCCCCAATAGTAAAATTTGCGAAACATTTTCCGGAAAATCCGTGTTTTTCGATTCCCCTGACGTTTCCCTGACACTAAAATCGCTTGCAAAATAAAGTTCCTCGACATGCCGAATTCTTGCGGATTACCTGAAGTTTTCCCTGATTTCCGTGACAGGAAAAAAATTCCCAGACATTTCCCGGTCACAAGACACACTGAAAAAAAAAACACATAGCATCTAGAGTCCAGACTCTTAAAAACATCGATAAGAAAAAGTACTCTTGATTCAATCAGAATCTAGCTTAAATCAAGAACCAAGCCTCTTAATTTAAGCGGATTCAAGCAAACATCCGATTGAATCAAGAGTATTTTTGCTTGTGAATGTTTCCAAGAGTCTGGACTCTAGATCCAGTGTGTTCATTTTTCCAGTGCACCCTGTACGCATTTTATGAGCGGCCTCATACACACTAAAGCTCAAGTGAGATTTTTTATCATCCCGTGGAGAAAACGCAACTCGAGCAGAAATTTTAAAACGTTGCGACGGGCTCCGTGTCGAAAATCGTCTGCAGTACAGGGAGAGAGAGCGCCGTCTCGGGAGAGGAGGCAATTGACTGACTGCAAGAGGCAAAATTAGACGCATGCGACATAACAGAAAACGGAGCGCCCGGGGGGAGGGCGGGGGGGATGCAATGTCATTTGGCCGTCTCTTGAAATATGAGAGCGTAAATCAACTTCAAACCAACATTTATGATTTTACAGTCCATAACTCAGGGATAAAGTAAACACGAAACACGGCGCAAGGGCCGTGTCGCCGCGACGAACCGCGAAAAGAAGCGTCCCGGCCCCGCGGTTTACCGTCGGTCCCGGCGGGGCGAGCGGATTTCGGGGTGTCAAAAGGACTTATCCGTGCTAAAAAGAACTATGTTCCACGCAAACCCTGTGCATATAGGTCTTTTTAGCGTAAATACGTCCAAAAAGCATGCGCGCACGCCGCACAGTAGATCGAATCATAAGGAGATGTCGGACAAAATTTGGAAACTTTAAACGCTTAAAACTCCGATCAGACAAAAATTTGAGGTTCTGAAAGTGGTTTCCTTGGTTTCCTCATAAAATTCTCATCTAAAAGCACCCCTTGAAATTTAAATTGTGACGAAATAAACATAAAAATTTGCAGTTTTAGTCCGAAATTATATGTCCGACCTCTCTGATTGACTCGATCCACTGTGCGCCGGGGCCCGGGAGTTCTAGGTCGCCCGGGGCCCAATATACCATCCCTCATGTATGCTCACTCTCGTTTTTCGCGCATGGGTTTGACACATAGGCGGTTTTGAACCTTCATGATCGGAACTCCCACACGGTGATTAGGAAGAACGCCGTATGAGCATTCAGACGTGACCATATTTCCTTCGAAAAACACCGAATTTAGTGAGAAAATTGTGAATATTTTTCCTCCAATTTTTCAGTCAATTTTGTTCACGATTCAATCGAAAATATCTGATCATTTTAAAACAAATATGCGTAACTTTTCTCAAAAATACATGATTTATTCGGAGAAATTTGGCAACACTAGAATGTTCATACGGCGTTTTTCCTTAGCATGGCAGCACACCTCTCCGATCTGGGGATCAAAGTTTTCCGGGACTCCCGACGAGTGCCGGTCTCGGTAACTGTCTTACTCTTAAGTCGTCGCTTCGCTGACATAAGGGCGTAACTGCACTTAGAGATGGGCCCGGGAAAGCATTGGGTTGTATGTACAACAGGGCTCATCTCGAAGTGTAGTTAGGCTTTTATGCTAAGAGGACGACGAAGTGTGAGGGATAAGCTTACGATTAATAATAGATTGAAAACGACTTATTCCTACTTAAATCCATGTGAGAAAGCAGTGCTCCTCTTGCGTACACGAGGAAAACACCACTCGCCTAAAATTAGTCGCGTTTTTATTTATCACCAGTGTAAGCACTTTCTTTTTAAGTGAGGCCTCTTATATTTAAAATCAAGCGTGTAGTACACGCACTGAGAGACGACGGACTCGGACGATGCTAATTTTAATTCAACCGCCGCCGATGTGCGGGTGCCATTTTCCATCCGCCTATTCTCCATTTCCTCGACTCTGATTGGTTAAAAAACATCGGCATCACTCAGGTGCCTCGCTAGTTCTTGAAAGTGAATCACATTCGATCGCTAAAACTTCCTTCACGTCTGGCGCCCCCCCCCCCTTTGCCCACCCATCGAGGTTCAGGCGGGGGAGGGGAGATTCTCATGGATCCGTCTTCGGAAACAATGCTGCCGTGCTAAGGGAAAACGCCGTAAGAACATTCGAGAGTTGCCAAATTGCACCGGATAAAATATGTATTTTTGAGAAATGTTATGTGTATATTCCCTTGAAATTCTCAGATAATTTAGGTTAAATTGCGTACAAAATTATCCGAAAATTTGAAGGATAAACACTCACATATTCTCTTGTAAATTTGTATTTTATCTGAAGAAATTTGGCAACGCCTGAAGGCTCATACGGGGTTTTTCCTTAGGACGGGAGAATGACTGTGTGAATATCGTGGAAGGCGGCGCGAGCGAGCGAGCGAGCGGCATGCAGGATCGGCGGAATTAAATCGGCACTATTTCTCTGTCAAAATGAATTATGGCACCTTACCCTTCGCGGGAGCGGGGGAGGGGGCCGCAATTACGGAACGATAATTATAAATATTTATCCGCGGTAATGACTGGGTCGTTATCGCGATCGCCATATTAATTGCTTATAATTTCGCGTTCGGCACTTTAAAAAACAAAAACAGAATAAAACATCCTTGAGGCGCACCGTCGTCGCTGCATCGCATTATTTCGCTGATCGTTACGGACACGGCCGCGACTTCCTAAAAAGAAAGAGCGTGTTGGTGGTTGTAAAGAGAATGATGAAACCTTTCGATCAGCCTCGTTTTCAAATGTAATTAACTCCGAATAGGAGACAAGCAATAGAAAAAATAAAATAAATCAAAATAGTTTCTTCGAGTTTTAAATCTTATGGAAAATGCAATCGCTTTATTTGATTTTATAAGCCGCCCTCTTCTCCGCAAGACGTCATTTCGACTAGACATTCAGCCTGCTCAAATTGTTCGCAAGACGTAAATTGTTGCTCTCTTAGAGAAGGGAGCTAAGTATATTCGAAAATTGCCCCAAGATTGAACAAAACCGGCTTAAAAAAGTCAAATTTAAACGCAATACTCCATTCTTTCCCTACGTATGTGAATGACGCCTCCTCACTGTCAAAAACTGGCCATCAACAACATAGGCAGGACCAGAACCAGGAGGTTTTTGTAAGGAGGGCAGAAAGGCACCAGGCATACCTCATCAGGGAAGGGCTGGAAGTCTCATACCCGGATCCAAAGGGGTCTGTGAGACCTCCTCGGGAATTTGTGTCGTCTTAGGCGCAATTTGTAGGTGTTCGCAACGATCCAATTATAATTTCCAAGATAAAAGATAGGTAGCACTCTTATTCAGCAAAACCCCTCACATTACTTGAGAGGGGCTGAGTTTTTGTGCTGTCCTTCCGCTTAGTTCTGTTTATGGCAACGTCCCTTTCCCATCCAAACTAGTCGCCATTTTCGTAGATCCTACGGGTGTCCATGGCACCTTGAGCCCATAGTCTCTCTATGGAGGTAAGTTACTCTAAACAAGCCATCAAAACTTGACGCCGCCGACAGTTAGCGTGATTTGAGCATCCGCGACGGGCGAGCCATCCACATTTCGTCGGAAGCCTTGCCCCGGATGGCCGCCGCACCACGACACATTTCGCTGAGCCCCGCGAAACATAGAGTCATACGGAGCACAAGGCTCATGTGGAGATCGAGATACGCCCTTAGGTGGCATTCTTCCGCCTAGCGCTGTCCATTTACCGGTGGCCGCCGCCGCGCCGTCGGTGGCTAATCGAGAGATTACGTCCGCCGAGGCCGAGGTTATGGTGGCACATTCCGAAAGGAAATTCCGCCGCCGGCAGGGCTGGAGGAAGGGAGGGGGCGGGGGGCAGTCCTTTTCGGGGATCGTGAGAGTGCACTTTTCAACTGCAAATAACGAGCCGTTTAGATGAGCTCCAGGAAAACGGAATCATCCTCGGCGAGGCTACGAATCGTCTAAATCCACGCTCGGAGCCGATGCCCGTATTCGTCGACCGATGGTCGATGGACAAGGCTTCAAGTAGAGAACGTATAGATTAGTAATTTTGATCGTACAGGAGCCTCCACGGATCAGAAATGTGTGCATAGGGAAACTAATGTCACATACGTTGTTTTTAAACCGGGCAAGAATCTATGGGTCCAAATTGCAAAATGTAGTCCAATTAGTCGACGGACAACATACTCAAAATTCCGATAAAACTACCGTAATTTAATACGCAATGAGTCAGGTGCGCCAGTCGCAGAATCGTGTTCTGATGTTTGATTCTTGCAGATATGCTAAAAATAATAAAATCTGTCCAGACAACAACACTCTCGGCGTTCAATATTAACCAAAATATCGCGCTTTGAAAAATTTGGTTTATGACCCTTAGGTAGACACATCAGAGACAAGAAACCCTACACTGGCCTCTTGGCGATCGGTGGAAGCTTTTACTTTCGGGGATTTGACAGTTCCTTATGGACAATTGTGAGGGAGCAACAGTCATCACTTTTTTCGGCTGTTGACCTACCTACATGGTGGATAATGAGCTTCAGGTAACGTCATGAGCCAAACAAGTTTCCCAAACTTCGGTTCGTTAGCAAAACGAAACTTCAAACACGTTAACCGTCAACAAAGTAGGTAGGTCAACAGTTGAATGATGAAGTCCTGAAAGTAAAAGCTTCCCAGTCGCTAACATTGGCGAATCCGGCAAATTGGCAACATTGTCTTTTCTCCATTTAAACCTAGAAATGTATCGATCCTTGAAGGAGCCAGGTGCTCCGACAAGAATCGATTACTTAGCATAGGTTTAAATGGAGGAAATCCGGTGTTGCCAAATTACCGGATCCGCCTCTAGTCGCTAAGATACTAAAGAAGGGTCTCTTGTCTCCGAGACACATGGACGACGGAAAGAGGCGTAGAGCGTACCTTTTTTCGGGATGAGGGACTTGAGGAGCAGGACGGCGTTCTCGTCGCAGGCCCAGGCGTGCATCTTGCGGTAGCTGTCGCGGCCTTTCTCGGTGAGCTTGTCCCAGGGCTTGGGCTTGGAGAGGAGCTCGGAGACGGTGCCCTGCGAGAGGCCCAGGACGTACTTGGCGAAGAGCCGCTGGCCGACGTTGTGGATGGAGAGGAGCTCCCGGACCCGCCGGGCGATGTGGAGCGTGTCCAGGTTCTGCGAGGAGTACTTGTCCATGTTGTAGCGCAGCATCTCCTGGAGCCGGGCCTCCATCGGGTCCCCCTTCGGAATCAACGACTCGCCGAACCTGCAACAGCGAAACACCCACCTTGGCGTCATTATTTCACTCATCAGAGAAAAAGTAAGTGGGTACACGGATCTGGCACTCGGGGACAAAATGTTCCTCAATATGAGACCTCGCCTTTGCAGTATTATTCAAGCAATGTACGTTTAAACAAGTGGGGCAAATTGAATTTGAAACGGAAATCGTGTTTCTGGGAGTGAAAGACTTGACTAGTTACAGGGTGCGAGTTTCAGTACTCCGATACATGTTTCTCACCCAAAACTTTCACCCGCAAAACACGACTCGGCAACGAAAATTACTTAAACTATGTACTAACTAAGCTACTAAATGTTTATCGATGCGTAGATTCAAACCTCCCGCACATTTATTTTGCACTCTTACATTCATTTTGCTTGAAATTATGTACTTTATCACGTTAAAGTATAATGGTATAATCAGTGATCATAGTGCATCTTTAGTATGCAGTTTAGTTATTTCGATGATGTAGTTTAAGTATTTCGACGGCGTAAGTCCGCAATCACTTGTCTTGTTTGCAAGGTCTGAAAATCTCCGTCTCAATGTTATTTTTTTAAAAGAGAACAAATTGATATCATTACTTGAAGTTTATGTAGAATTTTCTTCGCTCAGAGAAGAATAATCACGGCACTTTTAAAGAATTACCGTTGAGTAGTTTTCCGTGTAAAAAATAAAGTATGACAGGAAGTCTGCGACGTCGCAACCCGAGTTATGTGATTGCCGACTTACACCGTCGATTTGCAGTGATCTTGATACTGGGTTAAACCCAAAAGGACTCAAGCTAATGATACAGCTACCACTAAAAATATGGAAAATGTACGGTTTAAAGGTTAGTTTTGTTTCATTATTAAAATAAAAACGAGTGTTGGAGTGGAACTGACCTGACTATACCCGAGGGGTCGTAGGGCGACCGGTGGTCGTCGAACCTGAACGGGCCTTTGGTAATAAGATCGAGGTTGTTGTTGAGGCCGCAGAGGCCGTTGATGAAGTTGTTGTTGTTGGCGGCGAGGGTGTTGTTGTTGAGGTGGGTGTTGTAGTACATCTCGGAGGCCGGCGTCGGCGTCGGGGTCGTCGTGGTGGCGGTGGTGACGGCGACGAGGGCCGAGGCCAGGGCGTCCTTGGCCAACTCCCTCTCCCGCTCCCGCTCCGGGCCGGGGGTCGCGGGCGCCGGCGTCGGCGTGTGCGTGGGCGTCGGCGTCGGGGTGGGCGTCAGCGTGGGCGTCGGGGTCGGCGATTTGGGCGTCGGTGGGTCCGCCGGCGACCGCGTCCCCGACCGCTGGGTCCGCGTCGAGCTTCGGTCCCGGTCCTCTCGGTCCGACTCCGATTCCGAGTTGGTTCCTCTGCATTTATCTGAAATCAAAGATGGCGCCTGTTAGTCCAATGTACTTCTTCCTTGTAAGAAGAACCTTAATTGTATTCCTCCTGCGGGCAGATTATTGAAACTTATAGACAAAGCTATAGACAAAGACGACAAAAGGGATTTGGGGGGATCCTATTGGTGGAAGCGGGTGGTTGCAATGCACCCATAGGATCCCTTCGGTGGGCTGATTATTGAAATTGAAGGACAAAGCCATAGACGGAGAAGACACAGGACAAAGAAGCGATCCTGTTGCTGGAAGTGAGTGGTTGCAATGGACATAGGAGGTAGGTGATAGGCTAACTAACGGCAACCCACGAGAGACCCGATGGTTAGTCCATCATTGTCTCCCTTAGTCTATAGGACTCAACCATTTTAACCAATAGGATAGATCCAAACTCCCTATGTCTTCTTTGTCTATTGCTTTGTCTATCAACCTTAATAATCAGCCGGGGGCTGATTATTGAAATTGATAGACAAAGCGATAGACAAAGAAGACACAGGGATGCGATACTGTTGGTTGGAATGGGTGGCTCCTATTGACTAAGGGAGAAAATGATGGACTAACCATCGGGTCTCTCGTGGGTTGCCGTTAGTTAGTTTATCACCTACCTTTTTTGTCCATTGCAACCACCCACTTCCACCAAGAGAATCGGTTCATTTGTCCTGTGTCTTCTCCGTCTATCGCTTTGTCCATCAATTTCAATAATCAGCCCGCTGAAGGAATCCTATTGGTGGAGGTGGGTGGTTGCAATGGGCAGAGGGTGTAAGCAGGGTTTCCATAAATTTTCAAAATTTTCAATCCCCTGATTTTTTCTTTTCCACTGACTCCGAAATTTTCGAATTCCCTGACCTTGGAACAAAACTTCCATCTAGATTTTTTCCATTTCTGTCAAGCTGACCTCTGCTGAACGCTGCCTCGCGGAATTCCTTGATTTTTCTAATACCTTCCTTAACTGTCCCTGACTTTTCCGGGTCTCTGCGTGAGATAGTGAACATAACCAAGAGAGAAGGGTAGTCAACAGCCAACCAAAAGGCAGATGACATGTTGCAGCCGTACAATCGGGAAGCCTGAGACAGCGTTTCTGCTTTTGAGTTAGATTGAGCGGAAGAATGAGGATAAAAAGGATGGAGGAGATTCGAGCAGTGGTTGCTTATGGTGGAGGCTTACAAGGATGGCGGCCGGCGCCCGCCTCCAAGTGAGTGGTCTCTTCCCACGCACGGCAGCCGCCGCCCGCCGCGGCGCAGGCGTCGCTGCCGTCGCGACGCTGCGTCGTTCGGTGCGATGCACGGCCTGCGATGAACCGCCGCACTGTGATAGAGAATGGGCCTGTTGCGAACTATTGCTAGAGCAAGAATACTGTCGTGCTAGGGAAAAACGCCGTATGAGCTTTCAGAAGTTGCCAAAGTTTTCTCCGAAAAAGCCCGAATTTACTGAGAAAATAGTGAATATTTTTTTTCGAAATTTTCAGACAATTTCGTACCCAATTGAATCTAAAATATCAGAAAATTCCAAGGAAAAATATGCATGAATTTCGTCAAAAATACATGTTTCATCAAGGGAAATTTGAAAACTCTCGAATGTTCATACGGCGTTCTTCCTTAGCACGGCAGAAGAGGACATTAAATTCGTCCAAGCGACCGATTTCTAGTTGCGTTTTGCTCCTAAACCATTGTGCGGCGCAGCACGAAGCGCGCTAATTTACGAGCGGCCACGACGCGACGCCCCATAAAGCACTCGCACAATGCTCGATATTTTCCCATTTGAAGCGATGGTAAAGAATCGATTAGTGAAGTGGATAGTCGATCCTGCACATAACAGACTAATCGATTTATCGCACAGCACGACACACCAACTTCGCCCTGCCACCGAAAACAGCCTGGAGGTGTTTATCCGGAGATCCAGAAGTAAAGTGAGGGAAAACAGCAATACTGCTAAAACTTGATCTGCTATGGCCTTCGTAAACCAACGTTTAAAACCAAGCAAAGGCGCCGGTATTTGACTGAATTTGGCGGTGATACGAACATATCAAACCTCATTGTCTTTCATTTTTAATGACGAAAATCCAACATCCGCTTTTCTTTTGGATCCTGAACTAATTACAAATAGATCGTGCATTGGTCGTACTTTCAATCATAACATAGCCTTCATACAACTACTCGTGGTCCACGGATGCACGTTGTGCATACACAAAAAATTGAAGGAGTTTCTCGATACGACATGCGCGTAATCTTATTGTCTACAGAATCTAATTTGATGATTACTCTTTTTGTACCCCACCGATGGACTGATTATTAAAATGGATAGACAAAGCTATACACAAATGAAACAAAGGAAAAACGGAGTCACTTCATTGGTGGCAACGGCTGATTTTCATAGACTAAGGGGGAAACGATGGACTGACTATGGGGTCTCTCGCGAGTTGTCAAAGTTAGTCTATTATTTACTTCCATTGCCCGTTGCAACCACCCGGCTCCACCAATATGGTCGCTCCGTTTTTCCTTCGTCTTATTTGTCTATCGGTTTCAATAATCGGCGTCTCGGAGCACTCTCCCACGTCCGGCGCAATCCGAACCGCAGCGATAGCACTTGATTCCGATCGGTGCGTTGCTCGGAAGCGAAGATTACGGTCGACTTAATTATTATTAGTGCTTTTCCGCAGGCGAAACTTGGCAACGGCTCAGGGCGTCAAATCATCGCCACCCGACGCCCACCGCCCCCGCACCCGGCTATCAAGTTCTTGGCGAATGAGTCGCGAAAAAGTGATTTCGAAAAATGCGGATTACCCAGTGTAAATAACTGCTTTATCTAAAAATAATCGCTGCGCTGGGGTGGGGGTGGCGACCACGGTTGCGACTCGAGAATCGGACGCGAGTCTGTCAAACGGAACTAAGCGCATTGAGACATGAGCCCTGAGACCCATAAGAATATACGCATAACAGGGCTCACGTCGTGATGCACTTAGTTCCGTTTGATGGAAATACGTCCAATTGATTCGGTTCCCAGTCTCTTGTGCGATGAGAACACGGCGAAGAATGCAATATTTTAATACACCGAGCCGGGCATGGCATCGGGACGTGGATTGATTCCGTCTCGCGATCCCGCGATAAAAATACAGATCAAAAAGAAGGAAAATATGCAATATTGTGATACGGCAAGGAAAATAAGAGAGGAGTAATGAAGATAGACGAAAGCGAGGAAAGGGAACCGCGGATAAGTGCGCTTATTGACGAAAGGAGACGGGTCATACCGTCTAAACGCCGTATCTACATCCGAGCGTTGCCAAATTTCCCCCTATAAAATATTTTGTTAGGAGGAAACTTGTGCCGCGTATTTTCACTCCTTCGGCTCTCTTCAAGATACAGAGTTTGGCCCATTCAAACGTGTTTAAACCATCGATATCCATCGAAAAAAGCTCCTTGGCCCAGGATCGATTATTTATGACTGATTCGGATTAGAAGATTATCATATTATATTATGATAGCAATGATGTTAAATGACGTACATCTTAATACTTTCAAAAAATGCACGAAACTTCAGGGCAGAGGAAGGGGTGTTAAGGAGATCGTTACACCATTTTCTTTTTAAGCGCTACGAAGGAGTAGGAAGAAGCATAGAGAAATCCGAACTTTTGAGTTACAAACATATTATATTTTATGAACGGCCGAAAGATAATTTCCTTGAACTTTGTGGATAGTTTGCATTGAATTTGGTCTTCAAAAATAATGTGAGTTTGCAGGAAAGCCTGGAATATTTTTTTACAAAATTCTCGGAAAATTTGGATATAATTGGTTGTAAAACCCTCCAAAAAATTGAAGAAAAAACGCTCATAAGTTTCCCTGTAATCGGTACCATAGAGGTAAATTTGACAGATTTGAAGGCTCATGACGTTCTTTTTTCGGACGGCATATAGAACTTTTCAGTCGAAAACGTCGTCTAGGGTTGGGTTAATGGTGAAAAAACATTCATTCGAGCTGCGTTCGATTTGACAGCTCCGCAAGATGGAAATGGGAGGGTTAAGGGTCCAGTGTCCACCGTGATAGATAGTAACAAACAGAGAAAGCGGCTGAAAGAAACAGTGGCGAGGCGCGTATAATCGATTATCGATAATTCCCCATTCGAAGCTGTGGTAAAATATCGATCATTATGGTGATCGTTGTGAACACCCGATTAATCGATCCTTTTCAACAGATTCAAACGGGAGACCAATCGATGTATCGCAAAAGCACGCGACGCCACCGGGGAGAATACGAGAAAGAGTGAGCTGAACCGCTCTTCATTCACAGCCACCGCGGATGAAGTGACCGGGGGGATTTCCACGGCTTATGAAGTTCTTGGTGGAGCGCCAATTTCGCGACCCCCCGCCTCCCGACGATATTTTGGATCGTTTTAAAACATTAAAGAAATATCCCCCGCCCCCCGCACCCCGCCCGGGTTTTGTGACAACAGCTCAGAGTTCATCCGTCTGGTCTGTGAACTGATCTCCGCGGATCTATTCTAGAATCGCGGTAATTAAAATTGCCGCCCGGACCCCCTCCATAATCCGAGGATATCCGACTTCCCTTGTTTAATAAGGTGTCGCCCTTTCGGTTCGAGCGAATTTTTCGGCTGTCGCTGATATAGTTTCTCGGGTGACTTATCGTTTCGCGGTTTGAGCGGCGATTTTTCATCGCGTGTTTAGGAGATTGGCGCGATACCCCGCTCGCAATATCTGGGCGGTTTCTTTCATAATTTCGCATTGTCCTTGTCGACGGAGATTTATGAATTACGTTCGAGAGAAACAAATTAAAAGCAGCTGTAAATCTCGCGGAAAATATTCTGATGACTGCCCGTTCCACCCTCTCTCTGGGATCCGTTTAACGTCGCTCCAACTTTTGCGAATCTCGTTTGATGAGCTATATTTTATTTAGTTGAAACTAGTTCGATGGAACGGCGCATGTGGACGAACCACAACAAGAATTTTGACTGTCTGCGAGCCCGTTTGGGAAATTGATGGACACAGCTATAGACAAAGAAGACAAAATTTACATGTAGGGATTCTAATGCTGGGAACGGGTGGTTGCATTAGACATTGGAGGTAGTTGATAGACTAGCTAACGGCAAGGCAACCCCTGAAAAACCCTCTCCACTGGAAAAAAACCCACATTGGATCTAGAGTCCAGACTCTTGAAAACATTGACAAGAAAAAATACTCTTGATTCAATCAGATTTTTGCTTGGACCAAAAGGAAATCCGCTCAAATTAAGAGGCTTGGTTCTTGATATAAACAAAAATCCGATTGAATCAAGAGTATTTTTTCTTGGCGATGTTTTTAAGAGTCTGGACTCTAGATCCAAATGTGTTTTTTTTCCAGTGTCTCTTACTCTATAAGAACCATCCACTTCAACCAATACAATCGCTCAATACTCCCTGTGTCTTCTTTGTCTATCGCTTTGTCTATCAATTTCAATAATCAGCTCGCTGGTGGACAGGGCCAAATGTTTCTCGCTCCGACATAAAGTCGATGACAAGACTGTAAGCGTAAATGCTCCTGACGTGGTAATCCTGCATCCAATGATGCGGGTTACAGTCACAGTGCAGTGACGCTGAGAGACATGGAAATTCCCGTTGGATACGAAAACCAACGCTCTGAATCCCGTTTCTTGACGTGGAAAAATGAACGCAAACCCGGATTAATTTGACTGGACGTAACAACCAACTGTTGGAAAATGTTATATGTATAGAAGGAGATTTAAGATATTGCACGGCACGTTGAAATCAACCCAAGGACATGACAGGGTTGCAGAATCGCGATGAGAATAAATATCCTAAAATTTCTTTAAAGTTTGGCATTACATGAATTTTCACGAGTGATTGAAAAAATTGTCTATTTAAAAACATCGTTGATTTCTGAAAGCCTGCACGTCATTTGAGATCTTTCTCATTGGCGGAACCAGCAAACTGGAAACACTGTTTTTCTCCATTTAAACCTATATATATATATATGTATCGATTCTTGGAGGGGGACCTGGCCCCTCCAAGAATCGATTATTTAACATAGGTTTAAATAGAGAAAAACCGTGTTGCCACTTTGCTGGTTCCGCCCCTGAATTCTTTCTATAAAATTGAGAAAAATTTTGTCCGGTCACCAATAAAATGAAGTTCGCCACTATTAAGAAGGAGCAAAACAAATATGGATGGCATGCTCTTTTGCGTGGAGATCTGTTAATAGAAATAATGGTGAAGGGAATTTCGTAAGACCTTTTTTCCCCCTTTTTTTTAAAAAAAAACGAAAGCAGAGGGAAAGTTAAGACTATGTATTCAGTTTCATACAAACAAATTCATCGTGAACAGAGCTCCATGAAATTTCACAGAAATTTCGAATCATTCAATACATGAAATCTCACTTAGCAGCTCCGTCCTGTGTGCGTGCGTGTAGAGTGTTCGACGAGAGAAGTTGTTGACTCTGTCCCACGGTATAAAAATTCCAGTGATAAATGAATCATTTTACACTCTTAATACGCCAATCTTTTTATTGTGATATCTGCTCGCTCTACTCTGTTGACAGATCTAATAAATATTGCGGAAGGACGTTCCTCAGCTCGATATGTTATGGGAAAACTTGTGGCGGGATTAGGGATCAAAGTTCCGCGGGAGAGTCAAGTGCTGGGAATGGAAAATACTCGGAGAATGATTGGGAAAGTTTCGAGGAAGCGCTAGTGATTCTTGCGTCTATTCGCAAGTGTTCAGTTTCTCAAAGTGGACCGGACTCGATTTTTAAATATTCGGATTGATTCCAGAATGATCGATTTACGATCTGCAAAGTCTGAAAATATCGAAATCAAAGTTTGAAAGCTCGTTGCAGATGTTTCAAAACCCCGTCATCATTCACTGGAAAAATTAACACGTCGGGTCTGGAGTCCAGACTCTTGAAAACATTGACAAGAAAAAATACTCTTGATTCAATCGGATTTTTGCCTGAATCAAAACGAAATCCGCATAAATTAAGAGGCTTGGTTCTTGATTTAAGCTAGATTCTGATTGAATCAAGAGTACTTTTGAGAGATGTTTTTAAGAGTCTGGACTCTAGATCCAATGTGTTTTTTTCCAATATTGCTTAGTCTCCCCCGCATCGAAACACCTCTTGTTTCTCCAAGAACCGTGCAAGGAAAATAAGAATAAAAAATCCAGAGAAGGAATGAGAGGGGCAGGACGAAAAAAAAGAATCATAAAAACGGATTTACTCCTAATTGAATCTTAACTCTCTTTGACCGCCGTCGGTTCAGAATGTCCGGCATCTGCTCAAGAGATACCAACTTAGACACCTATCACTCGTTACCAATTGACTATAATAACCGATTAGTCGCGGCACAGAGGGAAAGAATCAAAATTATAAAGATCTCTTGTAAAGACGAGGGGGGAAAATGGAACCTATATGAGTAAAATTAAAATGTGGTGTTTTTAGGACTTCTCCATTATTCATTTTTCTTGGAAGAAAAGTTTAGGAGATTCAAATTGTTGACGATCTGCCTCATTAGCTCATTACCTAACCGAATTGTCGCGTCTCGGAGGTCGATTTCTAAGTGAGAGAAATTTTAAATTGCTTTGTTTTTTGATCAAATTCTTTCGGAACACCCGCAGTAAAATCTACGGCGGACCTTAGAACGCAATCTCTCAGTATTGTATAAGTACTAATTATTATTCCTTTCCATTTTGCGCAGAAAAGCGCTATTACTTTTTCGAACGCGTGATAATATTTTTCACGTGAAAGTTAAGAGGGAAAATGAATTGTTTTTGTAGTTTTCCACACATCAGATATTATTTGGCGAGCACATTGACCCTTGCAGAGATCGGTGCGAGTTCCTATACTCTTAGAATTTAATAAAAAGACGGGCAGGATAATTAAAGCAAACCAGTTATCGACACTTTTCATGATCGGCACTCTTAATTGGGTGGGTGTCGTTCTGCTTGTGTCTCGGAGGTTGTTCACTCCGAATTTTTCGCGAAATCAATCTCCGTTGGAACAAAGCCACCGCAAATTTCTCTCCGCCTGAATCAGATGTCGGCATTCCGCAGGATACTTCATCGATTCAAATATAAATTCGCGAGAAACTGTTAATTCCAACTTTTGTCTTCTAGGAGGGCGCCCTTATTCCCTTTCTAAAGGTATAGGTCAGTCTTGGGAAAGGATAAAACAGAAGCATGTATGCAAAGAAGGACAAAGTGTGACTAACAGAGGATGAGTNGGGGGGGGGGGGGGGGGGGGTGAGAATGAGAGGACACAGATATGATACATTTGTGGACTTGGTAAGTTGAGCATGATGGGTATCCCATTTCCACAGCTCAAGTATACTTATACGATTCAGATGAAGGCTGAGAATGTATTCTTACCTGATAAATCGGTGGGGGTACTGCACGTTGGCCGTTTATTTGTTGAATTTGATTCACATTTACTTTTATCTAAAATTGACTCTAAAGATTTTTGGACTAAGGGTTCGATGCCTTGATGCGGCTCTGGTGTTCGGAGGCTGCTACTGAAAGAAAGCAGAAAAAAAGCAAATGTAGTAGCGCACTTCGTTAGATAAGACCACTTTATTCTATATATACATCCCACTCAATTCGTTCACCTGTGACAAATTTTAAAAACTTTTAAAAGACACCCGATTGACTTATGATAATTGACTTTACATGGACCCGTTTTTTCATCGATCGTTGAAGAGCCTTCAATTTTTTGAAATACCTCACGCACGTCCGCAGAAGTAAAATAGTTGTATGCTTCATACTGCAGCTTCAGAGATTTTCTCAAATCGAAGTTGCATTGCAAGAACCCGTTTTTTTTTATCGATCTTTGAAATGCCTTACTTAAATGAGGGGTTTTGAGGACAAGGCGCTTAAGTGAAGTTTTTAAAAAAAATTGAGATATTAATGATTTCGAGTAAAACCAGTTTTAATGCATATTTTGTAAAAAATCCACTTTCAAATTCCAATTTATAAGCATCGAAAAGTCAGTTTAATCCGTCTTTTCGCCTGTAATTCCGAAATTTCAAACACGTATCTCTCGACATAGTGAAAACTGCACTTATACGCCTTATCCTTCACGCCCCTCAACCCTCAAGTAGCACCAATCTTGACTCGAGGGAGAGTACTCATATAGGTAGGCTGAAAATTTATAAATTTCTTCAGCATTGTGCCTCCACACCTCCCTTTCGAGATGCTCAGTCACGAATAAGTTTTAGTTTCACCCATATTTCAGATTTTTTCTCTTTTCAGTCCACTGTGCGGCGCCGAGGTCGAAAATTTGACGAAGAGAAGTATTCACCGAAAGTCCGAGCTCGGCGCGCGGGGCAGATCAATCGGCCGCATTCGATTCCCACGTTCCCTTTCCCCGTTCCTCACGTTCCCCGACGGACCAGGTCTTCGAGTCATCGAGACGCCTGACTCCGGCCAAGAATCCGTGCTCTGTTGCTAGACTAAACAATGGTTAGGTNGGGGGGGGGGGGGGGGGGGGGGAGGGGCTCGGCAAGCCCTAAAAAACTTCCTAAAAAAATTGTGAATTTTTTTTTGTTTTTTTTTTTTGATGAAGTACGCCTGGATCTAGTTCCGGAGATTGTTAAATTTGATGGGAAAAAATCATCAAATTTGATCAAATAATCGGTCAAACTGATGAAAGCAACTATTTTTAAAAAAAACACTTTTCATGTGCAATTAGAAAAGAAAGCCAGAAAAATTAAATTTTGGAGGAGGGAATCCTTTTTGATGGTATTTTCGAATAAGAAATGTATGCTTGAGTTGATCCCTGTTGAGTTGAAAGGCCCTTTTCAAAAGGAAGGTTAAAATTTATGAGGACAGAAATCCTTCCCTGGGTATTTTTTGGAGTGAAATTTTCATTAAAAATATCAGTGCTGCCGTTTTATTTTACCAAAGATTCCCGGGTTCCTGGCATTAATTCTGACTTTCTAAAGTTCGGAGGAAAATTGCGTAATACGCCCGGATCTCGTTTCAAGTATTGTTAAATTTGATTTTAAAAAAAAAAATCATAGACTTTGATCAAATCATCGGTCAAACTTATGAAAAACCCCGCGATTCCGAAAAAATTACGAAAATAGCTGGAAATTCCGAGCAAAGTTCCGAGAAATTGCGAAAGTTCTGTACTTGTGACCCGTCCTATGTGCATCCATACATGCTTTAAAGCTAGCCTGAAAACGGGCAAAGTCTCTTTCTACACAAAAATATTGGGCTCGAGACCCGAATCGGCAATGCCGCGCAAAATTCCCCCGAAAGTTCAGAGTACGTTTCCGAACGAAAGGAGTAGGTCAACTTCGGAATCTGTTTCTTTCCTCGCGAGGAAAAAATCTGAATGTGAATACTTCACACTTCTAGACGCATTTCTACACATTGAATTTGACCGCGTCCCCTTAATGCCCTCGCCCGGCTCCCGATGAAATTCCGATCTTAGCGATGACATTTCGTCGTCTTCCGGACGAAGTAACCTAACTCCATTCCAACGTTGCAAAGTTACCTCAAACAATTTAATTTTTGCGAGGTTGTACCTGCGCAATTTTTGTTCAAAATTTTTCTGACTTTCGCGAGAGGCCAGAAGAAAAATCGGTGAAATTTTTATTTTGAAATGCCCGAGATTCTCCCGACACAAACTTGATTTGCGAGGGGAATTTGGCAACATTGAAATATAGTTACGTTCTTTCGCGAGGGAACGACGATTAGTGCATTGCTTGGTTCGGATCCCGCATGCTAGCGACATATTCTCATCTCAAACTTAAGCGATGTAAGGATAAAAAAAAAAGATGTAATGCAGTTTTCGAAATCAGTAACTCCGTAATCTTCGAATGCAGCCGAAATTCTCGTTCGGTGTTCCAGGAGATTAGGATCAGTTTCAGATCCATGCGGAACATAAAGACTTTATGTGGAAGTTTCAAGTAAGAATCAGAAAGTAGGGTCTATTGGACTACCTATTTACGCGGAAGAAGTCTATCTGCAACGGACTTTTTAAGTGGATTGGCAGTTTGTGCGTTAATACAGCCAATGGTTGGGCAACTATGAATTCATAATCGAGGATAAAGGGACGGTAAATGGTAAAGTTTGTAGTGTAGATAATGAACGAAGACCTCTCATAAATTATAATAAATAGAAATTTATACCTGCACCGGACTTTCTATTGTAGATCGACAGCTTTTGGGTGTACTCATCCAATGGTATATAAACTACGAAATTTTATCGCCCCGTTGAGATAATGGAGCAATTCAGCTCACACTTTTTTCCACGAGACCTAGGAGATTGAAACGCCACGAATTTAACGGCTGCTGGCTTATACCCGGCGATCCGCGCATTGCGGACATGCCGCTGACTGTCTAGTCGTAAAACGATCGAAACTCCTTCTTTACAGACTGATTTGTACAGGTTATCGCTCGAGCCCACATAATTCATCACACCTAGCCAATCAATTAGCTCCATCGACCGCGAGTTATCGGCACCTCAAAGGAACGCATAAACTTTGGAACCGGGGTTAGGAATGATACGGGGGGGAGGCGGGGGGGGCGCGAAGGCACAATTATTTTAACAAGGAAAGCCCGACGCCATGCGTTATTATGCTACCGTGCTGAGAAAAAACGCCGCATGGACATTTGGACGTTGCCAAATTTAGTTTGAAAAAATTTGAATTTTCTGGAAATCTGGAGGATTTTTTTCTTTTCCCTGAGACAGCTCCTCAACACTGAAAAAAGTAGGTATAGTTCGAAGCACGATGATATGCATGAGTATAGAATCTACCAACAGATTTTATGATACCAAATACTGTGACTTAAACCTTATTCACCAAAAATGTTAAGTGGTAAATGCTAGCACATGTCTGGTTATCCTTACTTATTTCGATAGCGTATATGTCGATGGTCGTAAGTCCGTAGGCCACGCTTCAATAGTACATGCAAGGAGTTATAAAGTCATTAAATATCCTATACCCTTAAATTTCACAGAGAATCTAGTATGTCTGAAAAATTTCAAGAAAGATATTCATAAAATTCCTAAAAAATGAAGATCTCATTGAGGGGCACTTTTGCAACATCGAGGTGCACATACGGCGTTCTTCGTGCACACGGGAATATTGACAAACCGTCGCGTCCAAAGTTGCCATATAGCACAATGAAGTGTGCGTATTTTCAATGTGCTTAAATAAGAGAAATAGGTTATTTTCCAGCACTATCTGGCAACTATGGTCGCGTCCGTTTTTCCGCATTGTCGCGGATTTTCGGCGACCGCGGGCACTGCACCCGCGCGACGTCGATGACACATACTTGAAATAGTTCTTGCGGGCGGAGGATATATATAATTCGGTGGTCGGCTATCGATCTAAGGCGCGCCAATATTTTCGACGATATTTTAATTATCCGATAGGGCTTCCAATTAATACGTCTACATCAAAGGAGACCGCGCCCAAGCGGTGACGTCACTCGTTTACGATTTTACACCTCCCGTTCGTTGTGTTCGTGTGGGATCCCGGCCGAGCTTAGGTAAAACATCGTATTTATATAGGGTACCGTCTGGATATACACGGTTTTCGCGTGGCAGGCGAACATCTATCGTGACTCAGGATGGGCCAAGCTTAGGAAAAACATCGGATCTATATAGGGTTCCCACTGGATATACGCGGTTCTCGCTTAGCAGGGGAGCATCTTTCGTGACTCAGTCGAGTCGACTGCACGTCGCATTCATCTTGAATTTCTAAGGTTCAGTTACACTATCAAATTGAGCCATCAAACTGAAGCTCTGATTGGTGGAAAAAGACCTGAGGTGAGGATGCGACCAATGAGAGGCCCAATTTGATGGCTCAATTCGATCGTGTAACTGGACCTTAAGAGATTGCGTAAATGCGTCTTATGCACCCTTCCCCCGCTGGCACGTTCATTTGATGGTTTTTATCGAGTTTCAAAACGAATGAAAAGGGGGCGGCAAAATATAAGCGGTCTATGGGCGGAAATCCGGCGCTGGTTTGAAACTTTGAATGTGGATTTCTATCAATTAAGAGGAGACTGTTAGAATGGTTACCTGATTTGTCGCTTGAGATCGTCATAGTCGCGCTGCCTGGACTCGAGCCTGCAGATCTGTTGCGTCTTGTGTTCCAGCTCTTCCTCCCGCCTAGCGATCGTCTCTCGCTGCTCGTTCAGCCTCGCTTCCAACTCGTGGATCTTTTCTGTCAGCACGCAGATCTGAAACATAAAAAATGCCATGGTGGTTATTGCGCTGTCTCAATGCATTACCTGAAAAATAATTCTTACTCTGCTACATAATATTAAAAGAGTCACTCGTAACGCATAAAGCCGTGGCATGAGGCAAAACATTCCGGACCATTGTAGGAATTTCCGTACTTTTTCAGTCCTTCCGGATGGCCTTTAAAAAATCAGCACTATTTTCGGATCTTCTGGACCAGTAGACTGCCGTGCTAAAAAACGCCGCACAGTGGATCGAGTTGATTAGAGAGGTCGGACATGGAATTTTTGACTAAAACTGCAAATCTTGATGTTTATCTCATCACACTTTGAACATAAAAGGGTGTCTCTCGAAGGAAATTTCACTGGAAACCAATGAAATCACTTTTGGAACCTCAAAGTTTTTTGTATAAACGGAGTTAAAAGCTTTCAAAAATTCGAAATTTCGTCAACTTTTCCTACTGACTCGGTCCAGAGTTGGCTGTATGAATGTTCGAGAGTTGCCAAATTTCCTCCGGTACGACGTTTGTTTAAGAAGGAAGTTATGCATATTTTCCCTCTATATTCTCAGATATTTTAGATCAAAGTGCGAACAATATTGTCTGAAAAGTTGGAGGGAAAATATTCACAACTTTTCCAGTAAATTATTATTTCATCAAAGGAATTTTGGCAACATGAGAAGGTTCAAACGGCGTTTTTCCTTAGCAAGGGAGTAGACATACCCTGTTTGCGGATTCCCGAAGTCCCGAGTGTTACTCTGTCGTGCTAAGGAAGAACACCGCATGAGCATTCGAGAGTTGCCTAATTTCTCCAGATAAAACAAGTATTTTTGAGGAAAGTTATCCATATTTCTTCCTGAAATTTTCCGATGTTTTAGATCAAATTGCGAACAAGATATTCGAAAATTTTGAAGAAAAATGTTCGCAATGTTCCAAGAAAATTCGGTTTTTATTGAACTAAATCTGGCAACGTTTAAAGGCTCGTGCGGCGTTATCCCCTAGCACGGCAGTTCTCCTCTAGCTACCCCCTGATCCCGAAGCGATGGCAACGATGATGAAACTACGATCTGAGCGGCACTCCGACTCGGGAAGGTGCGCACGACCGAAAGTGATGAGACGGCCAAGGCTCCGTCCTACCGAGTGAGCGACCTGCCGCTCTTCGGCTCCGAGTCTGCGGCGTGGACGGGCGCGCGGTGGCCAATCTGCGTCTTGCATAACCCGCAGCGGTTCCACCGATCATTAACTCCTCGATTACGGGTTGGCGAGGAGCGTGGGTACGGCGATGGTGGACCTGTTATGACGCCTCGCTGGGGCCCGCCACTACGTGCGCAGGTGTAATTGAGACCCGGTCCATTGGTCAACGCCCCCTCCCTCCTGCCTCACCCACCTACTACCCCGGAGTACTCCCGGTGTAATTGAGGCAGAGGGTGGTCTAGGCTAGGGTTGTTACCCCCTTCCATCGAGGAGAGCCAACAGGTTGCCGTCAAGGAGATCCGAGGGGGAAACAATCATGTGCGATCATTCGAATCCCTGAAGAAATGATAACTTACGCGAATGAGGAATGGAGCTCTCGCATAAGTCAGGAATTTGCGATTTAGTACGGATTCGTGAGCAAAATTTAGCGAGAAACGCTATGGTGCCACTGATTATCTCTATAATCAAGTCCAAAGCTCAGAAAAGCTCTTAAAGATGAGGCCGTGATGGGGGGATATCCCAACGCTACCCTGAGAGTCCACCTCTGCATCAAGACAAACTCTCTTGCTAGGGGGGTTCTGGGGGTAATGGAATAATCTCCCAGTTCAGAGGGAGGGGGGCGGGAATTTTGGAGATTTTAAATCAATATGGACGCATTTTGAGGCTTCTATGACGCAGATTTTCCATCGCAAAGTCTGCGGAGAAATTACGCTTCTATTTACTTTCAGCGCAAAATACTTTTTAATTCTTGCATTGAGCAGATCATGGATACTATTTGGATGCATTCTGAAGCTTCCATGATGAAGATTTTAGAAAATACTAACTGAATGATCACGGTGTTTTCATTTAAGACTCTACATTAAGAGAAATCTTCGACTGAGGTTTTTTACCACCATCCAGAATTTCCGGGGGGTGGGGGGGCAGCAGCTGATACTGTTTTCAATTGGCCAGGCCCCCCTAGCCCCCTATTTTCGTACGCCCATGTTCCTCAATGCATTTTTACTTGTTATTCTACATTAAAATCATCGCACGTATCGCTGGGTATCATAATGTACATAACCGTACTGTCTTGGCAATATTGCGAAGTCCCTGCGAGCTTGTTACGAAGAACTCCTCAATTCGAGACAGGATCTCAAGACTCACCGCCCTTTGGCGTGCTCGAAGACCGGGGTTCTCCGACCCGCTTGGCAGCGTCGATTACTTGGCAATCACGTATACTGCTCATTTTTTTCTGACAGTGAACTTACCGGAGCGACGGAGGGGGAATCGATTTGATTCTACGCGATACAGTAAATTACAGGCTGCGGCTTGATAGATTTCAAGATTCGCCGCCGGGCAACTCAGGACTCTTTCACTAACAGTTTTCAGCCATCGCCTATGGACTGTGGCTCCTCCCATGGCTCCAATCATCTTTTTCCTCGCATCGACGTGTCAAGAAATCAAAATGAAAGATAATGATGTTATCCCCGAGACTCAGCCCCGTCAGGCATCGCTTTGTATTTAGCTGCCATCAAAGGCAAGAATGCCGTAACTTCATATTATTAATTTTTCACGGACACGATTTTTTAATACGGGGGAAAGGGGTGAAAAATGATGCAGTTTCACTTTCCATGGGCAATTCGGTTCGATTTGCGAGGTCTGTTCGACGAGATTTTTTTTTCAGTCGATTTATTGGCCTATATTCAGTATCATAAATCATTTTTTAATGTTAGTTTTTCTGCTTAATATTAAAAACTCAAATACACAAGCAGAGTTACCAAAAGTATTATCATGTGAACAGGCGGGATTTACAGCCAATACAAGATGCAAATCCTCGGATAGATAACTAATACTGCACGGAGGATGCTATTTGGTCTACCTTGAGAATTGAAGGCGAAATAGAAGTGTGCGTAACATCTGCAACACCTTAGTCTCAAATTAACCTCCCTCTTTATAGTGCTAAGTTCATGATGAAAATGGGAGTGAGTTCAAAACTAGCGACGAAAGGTGGCAATCGTTGATTAGACATAAGGGCTCGTGAAATTTTGACCTCCAATAGTCGCAACCATCAAACTTTTTCATTTCGAGCTTCCATTCTGATCGTGTATTTTTCGCCTTCAAGTTAGAAAACGCATATGAGCTAAACAGAATAAGAGCGCCTTGAATTTCGAAAATTTTTTGGGTGAGGCTCCTCGAACAGTGAATGAGTATTAATCGATATTTCCAAATTTTAAGCTTTGGTAAAAAATCGATTATTTAGGTGTTCGTCGCGAACACCCTATATATCGATCTTTTTCCATTGGTTTAAATGACAGATAAATCAATAATCACAAAGCACGCTACGCCACTGTCCTTGAAAGCAGCTTTTTCGAAAATTTTCCCGAAGAGACTCCCACCTACCGTACTCTCGGTGGGGTGGCTGAAGGGCTTCTTATTACACCCTCCCTTCAATATCCCCCAGGTGAAAAGTCTATTATCGCCTATGTTAATTCTCATTTTCGGCGCAAACCGGTAACAAAATACAAAGCCTTTGAAACTCATAAGTCCTTCCGTTGGAGCACTCAACCGCCAGACGAGGTCTGGCACTATTTCGGGGGGGCGGTTCCGAACCCGAGAAAGGGGCGGCTGCAGATATTTATTCGGAAAAAGGCGTTATCGCGGCGCGAGGAACAGCCCAGCGCCGCGGCGCGGCGCTGATATTTATAAATTAAAAGAGTCGCATTCAAATTTGTTAGCATTCTAACTGTTTATTAATGTAAATTAACTTAATAATCGCGGTTGTTGGCTGTTACGCCCGTTAAAGTTCGCAGGGTGTGTTTAAATTATCAGCCTGAGACCAGGACCGGGGGAAGGGGGGGAGAAGGGGGTTTACGTGGATCTTCTCGGTCCGTGTGGGCACACATTCGCAAGTTGGGCGAAGTTTGGGCGAACAAAGCACAGAACGGAGGGAGGGGGGGGGCATTTTTGCTCCCTCGCGAAATAATTTTATTGCCAGCGCTGGTGGATGAACTTATCATTGATGCAACGAAACACTCGAGAAACTCTTATGGCTCTGTTTGACTTATGCGCGGAGATCTCAGGCTTGCAACTCTTCGACCGTGGACATGCCGCCCCGCCACGTTGCCGATTTTACGAATTTCCGATGAAAGGAGTGACTCCACTCTGCCGTGCTAAGGAAAAACGCCATATGAGCCTTCCGATGTTGCCAAGTTTCCTCCGATAAAAACCAAACTTACTGGGAAAATTGTGAATATTATTTCTAACATTTTCAGACAAATTTGTACGCAATTTAATCTAAAATACCTGAAAATTTCAAGAAAAAATATGCATGGATGTTGTCAAAAATACATGTTTTATCAAAGGAAATTTGGCAACTCTCGAATGTTCATACGGCGTTCTTCCTCCGCACGGCAGTATTCGGGTGAATCATCGGCGAATGAACAACGCTGGACATCCGTATGTTGTGGATTTCCGGTGCAAGTCTCTGTGTGGTGTGGGTTGCGTTGGGGTCGATTCAAGGCGCCGACTATGTGTAACTCCAGACCAGGTTTAGCGTGAGGAAGGAGTTTGAGTTTTGATGGAGCTTCTTCTATTTGTTGGTGCGAAACGGGCGTGAGGTTTCCGATTGCGCAAACAAAGAATTTGCAAAGCTCGTAATTCATTCGCCAATCTGTTGTTTCGTTCGAGCAAATTTATAGTCTCCGTCAAAAAACGAAAAAAACTCCTTCATTCAAAAATGGAGTTGAGTGTTTTAGATCAGACGCTATAAGTTTGTAGGTGATATGAGAGCAATTGATTTTTATTGCTCGCAAATCCGTGAATTTCTTT